CGTGAAAAGGAATTTCAGAACATTTAGATATTCTGTAAGGGCTTCTCTGAAGTTTGTGAATGTTGTATTTCAACATTTGATGGGTCTCTTAAAGAAGGTCCCATTCCTAAGCTATTATTTGAATAAATTATTTTAATTCAAAGGACAATGTACATACGAAGTTCTTGTTAATAATAAGCCAATGGTGGCCATTGTTAGCTCTGACATACTAAGAAACTTCTAATGACAGTAGGTTTAAACAAGAGCCAGCGAGGTGGCATGCATGGGTGTGCGCACCGCGCCCGCCCCCCCCCCCCCCCCCCCCCCCCCCCCACACACACATACACGCAAATGGGTTATGTCTACCACATCACCCAAACCTTTCTGTCTAATGCAGAGAGGTGTCTAATGCAGCCAGGTGAAATGACAAATCAATGGTTTACAAGAGAGACCCTCATCTTCCCCAGTCTACAAGTTTTCGTTAATAAGCAGAGACAGACAAGCCAGAAGAAGTGGAGGATCAGGGAGGAAAGGCAGTCAGTGGACAGTGGTGGGTGAGGCCTCGTAGCCGACTCACTAGGATGATAACTGACATCTTCTCTAATGAACAGCTAACACTTTGGGACCATCTGCTACTGCAATAGATTTGTAGCTTAAAGGCGACATGCTTCAGCCCTTGCCGGGTGGCTCCGTTGGCTGGAGCATCGTCCCATGCACCAAAGGTTGCAGGGTGGATTCCCCGTCAGGGCACATACCTAGGTTGAGGGTTCAATCCCTGGTCAGGACACATATGGGTGGCAACTGATTGATGTTTCCCTCTCACATCAATTTTCTTCTCTCTCTCTCCCGTCCTCTCTAAATTCAATAAAAACATATCCTCGGCTGAGGATTAAAAAAAAAAAAAAGGTTACATGCTTCAAACCTTTGCTAAGGTTCCACATTACAACCTGAGTGTAGCGTGTGCCTGGCACCATGGAATAAAACCTAGCAGAGTACTAGACACAGAGCAGGCACTCAGGTTTGTTGAATAAACAGGTACTACATATATAGACAAGGCAAGGTAAGACCTTGCTAACTACCAAGATGTTTCCCATCACCAGCTTCCACCTCACTCTCTGGTCCTGCATCCAGGACTAAGTTAAACCCATTTACCACCAAGGATGAAGTCATGATGAAATCCCAGTCCTTGCGGACAACATTGAACAAGATCTCTCAGATGCCATGCCATTCTGTAAAGCACTGGCTAACGAGCTCCTGTGGAAGACAGTGTCTTCCTTTACTTTATTGAGAGGACACCATGGAGAATGGGACCTCGGTTCCTATTTTACTTCTTCTCCACCTCCACTGTATAGCAGACCCCAGCCTAACACCAGCGACATGAGATGCTCCGATTCCCACGGATGGGATTTCTCGACGCTATGAACAAATCCGTCTCGAATCCAGGGTCATCCTTGTCCCCTCTTTATAAGTTAGAATCACCATGCCTGTTTCTCAGAACTGTGCCCTTTGCCTCATCAGTTTAGGAATCACAATATTACTGTGACTGATTTCTGTAAAATACAATTGGAATAGAACAAGAAGGCCTAATTAAATACAGTTCGGATATGTGTATGTTGATGGTTCCCAAATTACAACAAAATTATACTGAATGGCTGCTGCCGACGCCCCAACAGTTGAACACCCGGCCAGCCCTTCCGACGGCCATGGGGGTTTTATGAAAGAACTGCATAGTGCGTACAGGGATGAACGAGTACAGGGAAAACTCCCAACTCACTGTACCAAGAAGTAACTTTTCTCTCCAAAATTCGCCATCACGAGACTGCGGCAGAGGCCAGGAACTTTGTCATCGAAACCTTAGGTTCAGAGCCCACCTCTGCTCCTCAGTAGCTGTGTGAGTGATGGCAAATGAATTTTTTGAGTCTTGATTTCTTCTTTTTCTTCTGTTATAAAGTATACACAGTGATGTTTACTTCAGAGAGTCATTGAGGGGATTCAGTGACATAATGGCTGTGAATGCCTACACGGTCCCTGAGACCTAATAAATATTTCGTAAGTGGTAGTTAGTATTAAAACTGTCTTCCCCAAGCCCATCTGAATTTATTCAATATGCTCTTGTATGGTGTTTGAATTTCTACCAAGAGGGAAATCATCTGGTCCTAAAAAAAAACAACACCCTGTGTTTTTTTTAAAAACACACACACACACACACACACACACACACACACACACACACACAAACCAGAGACATCTGTGGGAAGGCTAAGGGGCAACGGTCTTTCTTACACTAGAATTAATTCGTTTAGTCAGATTGCTCACCTCTTGATTCTTATCTGCGAGCATGTGCACCGAGCGAATGGAATATTTTGACTGGGAGGCAGGAAAGTTAATATTTATAATAGATATAAACATACAGCATTTGGGATGTATTACTGGGTTGGGAGAAAATGGTCTTAAAGCAAATGAGAAACATTCATTGCATAGGGACTTCAGAGAGAGAAGAGCACTATGGGATGGGGGAAAATATGAATAAGGAGTTATAAGAATATAAAAAATTATCAAAGAAAATTGGTCTCTTTCAAAATTTTGGCTGGGCCAATCTTTTACTTAAAAATGGAAAAAGGGAACTCAGCATTTACGTAAGTACTAAAGATCAATGCACTAGGAATCAAGTCATTTCGGAAGCCACCTGAGATGCTAATAGTCATTTTGGTTCTCTCTTCTAAGCAAAATGTCTTGTAGGATTAAAAAAAAATCTCCCACACAAACTTTCAGAGTTCTGCATACTCCTTACTTCAGGGTGGCTCGTCCAGTGATATTCTTCTTCCTAATTAAGGAAACCATAATCAATGTCCACAGGTAAGGGCTCACCTCTACATTGTTGTTAAAATAACAATCCTCAACGAGCAGGGTGAGGCACTGTCCGCAGCCCCGTCTCAGGAAGAACAAGCCCCCTTCCTACAGTGACATGCAGAGACCCTGAGGCCGGCCTCAGCACGACTCCACCCCTCCAAGATTCTCCACGTGCACGAAACAGACCATTCCCACCCTCTGTGACAAATGAACACGTTTCAAACGTAATCAACTAGTTACCGAGTGGTTTCCCTGTGTAGGGAACTCCGGGAGACATGAATTGTAGACAAAAGCATAAATCTTGATCCCTGCCTTCAATGAGCTTACCACGGAGGTGGGGAAACAGGATATAAATGTGTGAGAATACAAGCAATTGTAACGTGTTCCAGTGACTGTTTAAAACACCCTTAGAAGATATATAACAAGAACAGACATGAATGACCAGTAAATCAATTGTCATATAAATTTATTAATATATAACTACATATATATGGTCTCCAAAATGTATACACACACTTTGAATAATTATAAAGGCAGTGTTTATTAAAATACATTTAATTTTCAAAATTGAGCTATCAGCTGTTACAGTGTATATACATTTTTGGGGAAATAAATATATATGTACATACACACACACACACACACAAAGAGAGAGAGAAATGAATGCCATGAGAAGACTGAAAAAAGGCTTCCAGTTTGAGTAACTAAGGAGAGCTCTGTGTGAAAGAGACGGTCTATTATGATAATTTTTTTAAAGTTGTTCTAAAGAAAACACACTTTCCCTTACCATGCCTCTCGCAGGTGGCAAGGCCCTTTCGGGGGGCAGAGCATACGATTATGAGTAGAATCGATGAGTGTAGGGTCATTATATAGTCACTAGAGGCCCGGTGCACAAAATATGTGCACTCGTTGGGGGGGGGTGTCCCTCAGCCCAGCCTGCACCCTCTTGCAGTCCAGGAGCCCCAGACTTCTGGCTGAGTGGCACTCCCCCTGTGGGAGCACACTGACCACCAGGGGGCAGCTCCTGCATTGAGAGTCTGTCCCCTGGTGGTCAGTGCGCATCATAGCGACTGGTCATTCTGCCATTCGGTCGATTTGCATATTAGCCTTTTATTATATAGGATATTCTCAACATATTATGCTTGTAATTTTCCTGACCAAACATCCTTTGAAACATCCAACATCCTCAGCATGCTTCGAAGATGCACACAAGTGCTACCCGAAGAAGAGCTGTCATGGACCATGAGGGAGGACGGTGCTTCCCTGCCTCCCGGGAGAGGGTGAGTTATGGGATGGACATGAGAGCAAAGAGGAGAGCGATGTTCAAGGAGCCCAGCCAATATACAGCTTGCCTTATTTTCCAACCTTCTCATTATTATTACAAATTACAGAAGGGATTTAACGATCTCAGAAACGTCTTTAATAAAAAAAGTGCCAAAGCTATAAACTTGATGGGGTGGTAAAACCATGCTTCTAGACGTGCCGAGTTTCACTCTGGCAGCGGGGCCTGTCATCTGCTTTTGAGGACCCAACTTCAGCGTCTCACTATTTGAAAAAAATTGTTTTAAATAAAAAAGCCTTTGTGTGAAAAGCCCATGGCTGTTGTAAGAAAACAGCCCTGCCGTAATCGGATGAAGTTCGCCTCCTCCCCTACTGGGTAGCAGCAGCCTCCGTGAGATGCGAGTGAGGTCCAAACCATCTCGAGCAGATAAACCAGGCTCTCTTGGATCTCAGTATAATACTTCAGTATGTGAGTAGGTTAACAGGCCAACTCACGCCTCACATTTCAGAGGCCAGATTAATGGAGAAGAAAACATTTCAAATAATATTTCCTGAAGGCCTCCATCAGAGGAGTGAAGAGATATTTCGGCCGATGGGAATCTGAAGCAGTTTAATTATTTCCCGTGTGAATATCCTGGTGCTGCCTGGCTTCCCAGTTCTGACTGATGCCCTGGAAACACCACGCCGGCGAGGTCGGCCCTGGAGGGCAGCCTCCGGGGGCATCGGGCATCGGGCATCCGGATGGCTCGAGACTGAGGCTGCGGAGACTGCAACAGCGAGACCGAGACCGCTTCCCAGAGGACAGTGCACCCTCAGCGTAGGGGCGGCAGGCATTTGACCGTATTTCTACGCACACAACCACTCTGGAAGGAAAAGCGGGGGCGACCTACCTGGCCCTTTCTGGACTGGCTCCATCCCCCGGCAGCGTTGGCGCTAAAGCCTGGCGCATGCTAGGGGTTTGCGTCCAGGCGCAAGGAGGAGCCAGTGACAGAAACGGGACATCCTAGAATCTGGAATAAGAAGAAAGAGTAAACTTGCGAGTCACAACCTCCGAAATGAGCATTTCAGCCGGGCGGCCGAGGGCACGGCGGGGAGCGGTACTTTACCTGCGAGGGTCTACTTTACAACGCGCGGCTCTTCTCAAAAGTCAGGGCTCGAGATACGGGCACCAGTTCAGTTCAAAAGCACCTGACCAAGGCCTTGCCCATGGACGTGGCTGGTGACAATGTTAGGGGGGGATCCTCTGTCCTTTTATCCTATTTGCCTGGCACGGCGGGAGGCTGCCCCGAGCCTGTGCCACGGGTCACAGCCACGAGCACCGAGCCAGCATCCCACTGCAGGGCCTCGGGAATCTGCAGTGTCACTCCTCTTCCGCCTCGTTCTCTGCAAAGTGAAGTCATAGGGATGGATCAGCCAACCTGACTCCTCGCTACCCTGCCCAGAATCCTTTGTGAGCTGGAATGAGTCATCGCTCCGAGAAAAGCTCCAGCCCTGGTGTGTGCAGGCTCCTTTGTCTGTGCGCTGCGGGGACGCGGGCTGGGGAAGGACCCCAGGCCAGGCTGCGGGGGCACGTCCTCCTCTCCAAGGGGCCCAGGACGCCTCGCATGCATTAGCACCAACTCTTTTTTTTTTTAATCATTAAAACAGGAAAAAGGGCACATACCTCCGGATGCTTAAAGAAAAACACACACATTAAAATTGATCTAGCGTCATATACTTACCAGTCTGTAATTATAAACCTGACACATTCTCTCTCTCTCTCTCTCTCTCTCTCTCTTCTCTCTCTCTCTCTCTCTCTCTCTCTCTCTCTCTCGGCTGGCTTTTCATTGTCATGAAGGACGGATCTCCCTCCTGTGTGTGCCAGGCCATTCTACTGTGCCCTGGATCAAAGTTTAGCTGCAGCGAGCCCTTTGCCATAAATTCCAGTTGCGTGCAAGTCCTTGTAAGCCTGGGTCTCACGGCGGCGGCCCAGCCGGCAGCCTCGCAGCAGAGGCCGCAGCAGCCGCCGGGAAGGCAGCGCTGGGAATGAGGTCACTGTGTCAGGGACTTGCTCTCAGCGTGAGGCTCTCCTGAGCTCACAACACAACTGAAATCCACGGTGGTGTGATTCATAGGATTTTTTTACATCGCTGCTTCATCTGCCTTAAAAAAATGTCTACGTCTGAGATCAGTAAGGCAAAAAAAATAAAATAAAATCCATCACACATCTGAAAAAAACGTCACTTCGCTGCACTGCTTGTACCCCACTCACTACTCGCTCCACGCTGAGTAACCCCCGCATATGCACGTGTACATATTGTATTTACACACACACACACACTTAGACACACAGACACATGGAGGAACTTATTTTGGCGGAACCATAGAGAACACGATCTGCCTCCATTCGGAGGACAAGAAATAACACAAACATCTCGGGAGGAGGCGGGGAGTGGGGGAGAGGAGAGAGTGATAGAGATGCTAGCAATCACATCAAAACCAGAGAAAAATGGAGTCCGAGAGGAAAAGAGTAATCCAGACAGAAATGAGTTCTGTTGTATCAGCAATCACACTGCCCACACTCCCCCAAGCAAAACAACACTGAAGCCGGCACCTCTCACGGTCTCCATTCAGGAACCAGAGAGATGCCGGCAAATTAACCCACCCCCAGAAACTGAACAGATTTGGGGAGCAGATGATATTCGTACAGCCAGTTCTCCCACAGCCTCACGGACACATAGCTAAGTTACGATGAAAACAAAGTGGGGGGCGGAATCCGAGCTGGGAAGAGCAAAAATATAACAGACTCCTCGGGAAGACTCGCCCAAACCTCCCCCAGGCTAAAACCCCACCAGGATCAGATCCTCTCCGAACTCCTGGGGCGTAGCCTGTCTCCCGGCACCTCCTCCCACGAGCCCCGGTCTCCCCCGAGCCAGTGCACATCTCTTGTGTAACCCTACCCAGTGAGCCCCACCCCCCCTTGGGAAGCTGAGAAAATGTGTAATGCCCTCTGCCTGATAACTCACCCCCTATCTACCAATAACATCCCAGTCCCTATGTCCCAAGTCACCTCTTCTAGTTTCGCACACTCTGGGACATGTAGAACGAAGCATGCACTCTCTATGCTCACTCGTCGATCAAGTGGTACGTTTGGTCCCAGCATTATTCAATAAAGCTTCGTCAGCTCCTGCAGCCCTCTGACACGTTCAGACCCTCTGCCCCCATCGTCTCCATGGACGGCTCCCCCTCTGGCATTATCAATTTCCCTCTTCCAATGTTTGTAGGAAGAAGCGGGTATACTCCAGCTGAGTCCCACCCGTGGCCCTATTCCCCTCCCTGGTTCTGGACTCTATAGCCACCTGGTCTAAGACGCCGGCAGGTTATTGGCTGTTGTGTCAGATTTCTTCACATGAACTATTAACTCAGGTCCCACTTAGGCACTTAAGAAGAAAAACGTCCTCCATGATGCCTTGTATGTTTTATCAGAAAGCCCAGTGCGTGAAATCGCAAAATCGCGAAGCCCCGCCCACCCGCGCGCAGCCTCCTGGTGACCGGTCTTTGGTCGTTATAGTGTTATGACCACTGCGTTTTTATTATATAGATGGTTTGTTCTTGATGTTCCCTTCCAATGTGTGATTGTCTCTCACTTGCTCTGCCACCTAGGTCCCCATCCGTTCCGTAGACGGAGCCGGTGGCCCAGCACCTGGGCCTCCTACCCGGGCATCTCAGCTTTACTCAACTGTCTGTGAGTTGGGTGTGTCGTTAGTTATAAATCCACCTAAATCCACCTCACTCGGCCCATTCCTGTCAGGCATAGTGTGATGGCCATCGGGTCAGAAAGCATGCCTAACACACACACCTGAAGAATGCAGTGATGCCGCTATATAACAGGCGGATCAAAATGAACATCTAAACAGGTATCTTTGGTCTGGCAATGTGAGAGCCTGTGGGGGAGCACTTCTTGGTCGCCAAGAACTCAGGTTTCCTCTATGATATAGGAAAGATTAAACAAGTGAATAAAGAAAAAAACACCCAAATACCCAAAGAAAAGGGATGGAAAAATACAAAGAAAAGTGTATCCAAACTTTCTAATATCCAAACATGTATGCTTCCATCTACTTATAGGCCTACTATGCCCATATGCAGAAAGTCATCTAAATTTTACAAGGACCCAATACGCTAAGAACCATTATTCTCCCCATTTTAAAAAGAGATGAACCGCCTTCCTCAGCTCCCACAGCTGGCAGGTGGCTGAGGCAGGATTTGAATCTGGGGCAGGAGGCCCCAGAGTCTGTGATTTTAACCACCACACATACTGCCTCTCGACTCCTATAATAAAATAACCAGGAGAAACAATTTTAAAAAAAACCCATAGCTCAATTTTTAAATTTAAATGGAATCCCATTCGCCTTGTTAGCACGTAAGGCCAATGAGGTCAGGTTCACGGGCTCTGTTCCCCTTGTGGCCGTGTTTGCCCGGGTCCACAACGCCCGACGGACTGACCTCCAGCCTCAATCCACAGACTCCTACTACATGACCAGTCAAATGAGTGTAATTGATTGGGCAAAACCATAACCATAAGCTCATGGTGTGGTCCTCCCAACAGCGAGATGGGTTTTATGAATGGACACCTATCAGCCTCAACACCGAAATAAAGGCAGGAAAGACACTCTGATGTTTTAGATCGCAGCCTGTGATGGAGAGATAAGCTCGAGAATCAACTACAGACACAATCAGCAGCCCTCCTCCTCGCCCTGGTGCCTCATGCTCCTTTTAATAACAGCGTCAGAGTTGCAGTAACGATTTACAGACCTCATACAGCACATCGCAGAGGTGCTGTGCTCTGTCGGGGAGGTGTGGGCAGAGGCTGTGCCTGGCACTGGGCTGGTCCCTGGGCAGAAGATCAAATAGTAGCGCTACACAGTGACACCACCATCCAGGCTCTTAAAAAACTGTTTTGGGGAGCAATGCGGTAGCACTAATCTTAGAGCTACTGTACCTGATAAAGTAGGGAGCAACGGATACCCTTGAATCAATTAAAAATATTCACTGGGTGCTTAACTGCACATGTGTGAGACAGTTTAGACAATGAGGAGCATGTCTACTGGTACGTGCAAACTTTTTCATGAACCGATGACATGGTCTCTCCTTTCATGAAGCTGATAATGCAACTGAGGAGATAAGATACTCACACATAAAAAGTGCAAAGAATACAAGACAGTGTTTGTCGAAAGGGAGAAGAGGTGATAGGCACACCTAAGAACTCAGGAGAAAGAACCTGGGCTGAGCCCTAGCTGGTTTGCGTTGGCCTGCGGACTGAAGGATCCTGGGTTCGATTCCAGTCAAGGGCATATGCCCCAGTTGCGGGTTCGATCCCCAGTAGGGAGCATGCAGGATGCAGCCAATCAATGATTCTCTCTCATTAGTGATGTTTCTATCTCTCTCCCTTCCCCTTCCTCTCTGAAATCAACCAATCAATGTGTATATATATATATGAACCTGGGCTGAAACAATGACCTAGGACCTGGAGAGATGAGAGAAAAGAGAACGGGCGGCGCTGGTTAGCACGTGCGCTCCATGAAGGGAGGGATTTCCGTGTGCTTTGTGTTTACAGATGTATTCCTGAAAAGTGCCTCGTCACCTGGAGGTACTAAATAAATATGTACCGAATGAATGAATGAATGGATGGATGGATGACCTGGACAAAGAAACCAATGAACCAAGGTATGAGGATATTGATGGGAAGGAGGTGAGGAAACATGAGGTGGGTCTGCCTGAGGCTGAGGTTCCTACTGGGAAGTTGAGGGAGAGGAGGCAAGAAGGGTGGCCTAACAGCAGATGAAGAACAGTCTTTACTGGGTAAGAAAATGACCCACCTTATATTTACCATGAACTTCACTTGGCATTAGTTATAGCCGTTAGTAAGTCTCCTCCCTAAGAAGCATTACCCCTACATGAACCCCGAGTTCTCAACAAACTAGCATTTCTAAGCTCAGGGCAGCTCATGTTGACCGTATGCTCAGATGTTGCTTCCCCCAGGGACTCCTCTGCCTACCCCCATCACCAGGCCGAAGTCTGCGATGCCAAGTCTCTCTCCCCTTTGCAAAAAATGTACCAATACCAGAGGAAAAAAATCCTAATCTGGTGCAGTATTATCAACTAAACTACCCTAATTCAATGTAGTTCAAGTCAACAAACACGTTCTAACGACAACGTGTAAGACACTCTGCTTGTAGCTGAGGTGAAGATAAAGATGAGGCAGTTACAGCATCTAGCCTCAGTTTTGCATCAATATCTGAGTCACTCTGACTCATTCAGGGAAGGAGTTCCATCAGAACAACAACAACAACATAAAAAAAGGTGGTGATTTCTCATAGAAGAGAGAGATGGTGAGGAAACGTGGAGAGGAATGGCCAGCGCTTCAGCAAGGACATGGCAGCGGAGGTGGGCTCCAAAGGTGAATGAGTAAAGGG